TCATGCTCGACTTCCATTTAATCCCATGGACAGGATTTGCGTATCTTTAAAGCACAACTTTATTAGATTTTTATGAAAACGTTTTTTATTGGTAATTCAAATATTTAGCGTTCCATTAGGATAAGGTTTCAATGACATTTATTGTAATCGGGTTAAAATGTCATTGGTATTATTTGATATTCATTTGGGATTGAAGATTGAAGTGATCATTTTCTAGCGATAAAGGTTTCTTCTCGATCTAGAATGTCAAAACATGACAATCGAAATCTGTGTTTTACAAAGAAGCTGCCTCTTTCACGTTATTGAGGTTTTTCTACTAAATATTTCATGAATACTGCGGTTAGGCTACCATTATTTTCATGCCACCCGCCGAAATTGAACATTAAGAAAATTAAAAGTGTTCTACAAGAAATTTTATGACCGATTAACCGCTTTGTATGAAGTCATTTTTGGTTTGAAATAGATTGGTTCTATTATCGTTATTATTGGGCAAGCAATGACAATAAAAGTGGCATACTTTCATTAATGGTATCGTACATTATTTAAAATACTTTGTGGAAATAGAAGCGACAAAACCTTTCTCAAATCCATAAGAAATCTCTGCGAAAAACAGAATAGAATGTACAGTTCTGACTATATCACGAGTAAGCATACAGCTGAACGATGTTGTTTGCAAACAAGCGAGTCTGGACCAGACAATCCAGTGATTGGCGCCATGCGATACGATGTCTGAAGTTTGTGATTTTTTGGGGTGCCAAGATAAAACAGTCAAACAAAATGGGGACCAATTTGCTTGAGGTTGACAGATAATATGTAGAAAAATAAAACAATAAAACAGCTGCATTTGTATCATTTTCTAGGTGAGACTTCTTTTTGAACGCCTTCGGATGTTTACCTAACAGAACATTTTGAAATGCTGCTGCACCTACTACTGCTACTACTACTACTACTACTACTACTACTACTACTACTACTACTACTACTACTACTACTACTACTACTACTACCAAGGATCAATTGTTGGTTAGCAATATTATCTTTGAGGATGCTAATCTTCTTAATGTGTTTTTGACTGGAGAAAAGCTTATTATTCTGCATGTCTCGAATGGAATTCGAAGTCATTGAAATGAATTGACCTCCTGGGGGGATTATTTGTTATATTTCTTTTTAAATTTACTTTTAATACATTGCTGGTCAACTCAACTTGAGATATAATTTTAGGCGACTACGGAACTCATTTCTATTAGCAGGAGAATATGTCAGGGTGATTCTTTTTGTCCTTTGCTTTTCTGTTTGTCATTAAATCATTTTTGAACGTCTCCGTGGGGTAGTGATTAGAGCGTCTGTCCGGAGAACAGAAGGTAGCAGGTTCGATCCCCGGCCGCGTTATACCAAATAAGGTTAAAATATGGTACTTGTTGGTCCCTGCCTGTCGCTCCGCATTAATGGGAATAACAAGGACTGGTCAGCCCGGAGTCAGTATAATGTGTCTGAGTGGAGTTTTCATGCTTAACTGCGGCATGGTATCTCAGTGAGCTAGCACTATAAAAACACACATGCACGTCGTCATATGAGCGAAATAATCTTAAGTGCGACGTTAAACCCCATTTCACCTCATCTCACTAAATCTTTTAAGCCTAACAAAGAGCAAGGTTGTCATACTGGACATCTACAGCACAAATCCACCCCCAACACTTCTTGCTCACTTCCTTTACATGGACGACACTGAATCCGCTCTCAAACTGACTCACCTTTAATTTCCTTTACCAATGATATTGACATGCCCTTTGGCTTTGATAAATATTTTTCAGCTGAAACATAGCAAAGGAGAAACTTCCTCGTTACAATGTAGCAAAACAACAATGTGTAAAAGGGCGAAAACATGTTTTATCATATGTTCAGTTAAAAAATATACCTTTTCTAAGATGTGCCCAGTACATGTACTTGAATATTATCTGAATGTGAGTGAGTGAGTGAGTGAGGGGAGTTCGAACGGTTGGATGTTGGACGATTCTGGTCAATATTTTCGAAGTTGTAAGTTAATGTTAATGTATGGCACTTACGACTATCTTAGCGCTTAGAGAGCTTCGAAAATCTAGGCCCTGGCTCATAAGCATGTATTTATAGTTGCTGTTATCTCGACACCGTGAAATATTCCTTGTAGAATTCTTGGCGCAAACCTATTCTGTAAGACTAGAACATTATAAACGCAGGTTAAGCATGATATGTTAAACTTTGCTGGATATATGTATGTAAATACACTGAAAGATACAGACCCCATTAACAACGGGAAACGTAAAGCTTGAGAATATTTTCCCGAAGATGTTGTGTTTGTCCTTAGAGATCTCAATAAAGGACGCCCGTGTCAATATTTCCCTTCACCATTTCTGCGTTTGTGGACTGTTAACGATTTCATGAGCAAGTGGTGGTACAAAATACGATCGACCGTTTGTATAATAGCAAAAAAACGCCCTTGGTTAAAAGAACAAGGATGAATAGTTTTCACAGGATATGTACGACTTTAAATATTAATGCTGAACGTGCCGCTTTCATTTGAACAGCGAGTTTTCTTTAAATTGCACCATGTACTGTTATCTTGACGACTGCTTGTAATAATAGTGTAAAGAATACTGTTATCATGAAGACTTCTTGTGACAATAATGTAAAGAAATGAAATAATGAAGAATTATACATGAGAATAGGCAGTGTTGATGCTTAAATCGAAACAAAATCTGTTTGACGTAAAAGGCAAAATAATCATTTTTTTATGAATGGATCGCTGTAAATTAGCAATGATACCAGGTGAAGAAAATGCTGTATCATTCTATGAGGCAATCGATAAGTATTCTGTTGAGTAAGTGATTGAGTGGGTTGGGTTCAACTCTGCACTGAGTCACGTGACCAAGCAGAGGCTTCTTGCGAACTCAAGGGAGGCAATTCTGCACAGCGAATTGGACGAAAGTAAGGTCTTTTCTTGATCGTGAAGGCGATTTAAAGCAGGTTTCATTAACTCTTTTCGAGGATGCAAGATCTTTGATGCAACACGGAGTACGAACACTTATATTGTTAAATGTTACATATCAGTTTGTAACTGGATCGTGTCTGAGGTGAGCATGCAAGATATCCCCTTAATCGAAGTCTTTTCCGCTTCTGGAGATTCCTCTACCACTATCATCCCTTCTGCTGCTGCTACTATCAACAACAACAACAACAACAACTACTACTACTACTACTACTACTACTACTACTACTACTACTACTAACGCATCACTACTAACACTCCCCTGTTCCTCCTCCTCCTCCTCCTCCTACTACTACTACTACTACTACTGCATGCATTGTATTTGTGTGTCATGTTAACATCTATCTATCTGTCTGTCTATCTATCCACACGTGCTCTCTCTATCCACACGTGTTCTATCTATCCACACGTGCTCTATCTATCCACTTGTGCTTTATCTATCTATCTTTCTGTCTGTCTGTTAGTCTCTATACACTCGTGCTCTATCTGTCTATCTATCTTTCTGTCTGTCTGTTAGTCTCTCTATACACTCGTGCTCTATCTGTCTATCTATCTTTCTGTCTGTCTGTTAGTCTCTCTATACACTCGTGCTCTATCTATCTATCTTTCTTTCCTGTCTGTTAGTCTCTCTATACACTCGTGCTCTATCTTATCTATCTTTCTGTCTGTCTGTTAGTCTCTATCTGTCTATCCATCTTTCTGTATACATACTCGTCTATCTCTATCTGTCTATCTATCTTTCTGTCTGTCTGTTAGTCTCTCCTATACACTCTGTGCTCTCTATCTATCTGTCTATCTATCTTTCTGTCTGTCTGTTAGTCTCTCTATACACTCGTGCTCTATCTGTCTATCTATCTTTCTGTCTGTCTGTTAGTCTCTCTATACACTCGTGCTCTATCTGTCTATCCATCTTTCTGTCTGTTAGTCTCTCTATACTCGTGCTCTATCTGTCTATCTATCTTTCTGTCTGTCTGTTAGTCTCTTAGTGCTCTATCTATACACTCGTGCTCTATCTGTGCTCTATCTATCTTCTTTCTGTCTGTCTGTTAGTCTCTCTATACACTCGTGCTCTATCTGTCTATCCATCTTTCTATCTGTCTGTTAGTCTCTCTATACACTCGTGCTCTATCTATCTATCTATCTGTCTGTCTGTTAGTCTCTCTATACACTCGTGCTCTATCTGTCTATCTATCTTTCTGTCTGTCTGTTAGTCTCTCCATACACTCGTGCTCTATCTATCTATCTATCTTTCTGTCTGTCTGTTAGTCTCTCTATACACTCGTTAGCTCTATCTGTCTATCTATCTTTCTGTCTATCTATCTCTCCATACACTATGCTCTATCTGTCTATCTCTTTCTGTCTGTCTGTTAGTCTCTCTATACACTCGTGCTCTATCTGTCTATCTATCTTTCTGTCTGTCTGTTAGTCTCTCTATACACTCGTGCTCTATCTGTCTATCTATCTTTCTGTCTGTCTGTTAGTCTCTCTATACACTCGTGCTCTATCTGTCTATCTATCTTTCTGTCTGTCTGTTAGTCTCTCTATACACTCGTGCTCTATCTGTCTATCTATCTTTCTGTCTGTCTGTTAGTCTCTCTATACACTCGTGCTCTATCTGTCTATCCATCTTTCTATCCCTGCCTGTCTAACCATTCTTACTAACAATAACCATCGTAATAACTCAAATGACGACACCCACCCACCTACGACCCACCCACCCACGACCCACCCTTTCTCTCCCCTTGTTGTCAGAGATTCAAATTGATGTTAAGCTTTCTTGTTAAACAAGATGCACAATTCTTGATTTCACACAGAAAGCAGGGGGACTGACTCGGTGGTGTTGCATAACAATTGATCTAAAATCAATGTACATTACAACTCGTACCACACGTGTCAAATCCAGGCTCGTATGGCCTTGGTGACTTAGCTCCGCACACCAACGGCCCAGAGCCTCTTAGTCGATCACATCTGAAATGTAGTGGGCGGATTCGCTCCAATAAAAAGGCAGCGGTGTTTGGAATAACTTCTTCGTGATTAATTCCTGTTCTGAGAGCCAAAGCGAAGAAATACCCTGGGTTCGTCCAATTTAACAGCGGCGCACATTCAGTGCAAAATACACGAACAGTATCAGGGGTAGGTTTTAGAGCAGTCTAATTTTCTGCAATTGAATTTATGCATGGCATGTTTACTTACTCTGGATTACAGTTTTCATCGATAAACGAAATGAAATTGCGAACTCTCTAAACAAATAACAGCCTAGAATCTTCCAGCTCGTTAGTAGAATGCTTGCTTATTATCCTGTTACAAAATGTAGAAATATTTCAAAAAGTAGAATGTCGTTGATATTCACAAATGCATCATTCTGCAATTGATTTAATATCCAGTATTTATTTAATATTTGATTGTGTCGGTGTCAAAATTGAGGTTCGGTAATTGTGCTTTCATTTAGAAGTGCCCTTTCAAAATTAATAATTCGATTACTGTTTAAACATCATCAGTAAAAAGGGCATCACTGGATGGTCTGGTTCGCTCTCAGTTGATTCTCTCTCTCTCTCTCTCTCTCTCTCTCTCTCTCTCTCTCTCTCTCTCTCTCTCTCTCTCTCTCTCTCTCTCTCTCTCTCTCTCTCTCTCTCTCTCGCTCTCTCTCTCTCTTTTAGAGGCGTATTGGTGTGTGGCGTTAGACAACCAACGTGTATATTGCATGCACCTGGTGCCGTCACTTCAGAGATTTATTGATTTAATTTTCACTATTTTCTCTAGCCAGATTTTGTGTTGACATTTTATATTTTCAAAACGGTTTAAGAGTTAGTTTTATATGAGCGACCTTGGAGTCCAGAGTACATTTCAGAAACATGTTACCACAGTGAATATGTATGTGACAAAATGTTATGGATGTCAACTTCCCCCTTATTCTATACACAACGTTTCTGAGCCTTCCCTTGCCCCTTTGTCATTTACCTGACGAAGGGGCAAGGTAAGGCCCACAAACTTTGTGTGTAGAATAAACAAGAAGTTGACATCCATAATGTTTTCTCTTATACTAGAATACCAACTTCTATATGCCTCTCAAGAACTTCAACAATGAATATGATTGATGTCCTTGACATCGTATGCCATCAAGAGCCTGGCATGTTACATTGCCTCAGAAGGCATCTTGTCGTAATGTCTGTCCTGTCAACATTCATCTGACGTTGAGAAGTTGAGAAATGAATGACAGGCTTGTGTTCATCTTCAAAATGCCCAACGTAACATGAACAGTGGGTGTTGGGCAAATTTCTCATTAAGCTTTTTTCTGTACTTTCAAGTTTTATTCTTGATATGTTGGCTTGAGTGGTCCATTCAGATGTTGTTACATCTTTTTGCCCATTGCACCAAATAGAGGATACTCAGAGGATATTTTGGGGGATAGTCAAGACTGGGTGGTCTTTTGAACTAAAGTTTTATATTTACAGAGACCTTGGTGTTTTTGCTTTATGTCTCAAGGCTAGGCGGACTAACCAACTGAATTGTTGGAGTATAAGACAAAATATTATGGATGTCAACTTTTTCTATATTCTATATACAACGTTCTGGAATTTTCCTTGCCCCTTCGTCCGGTATACAATGACGAAGGGACCAGGAATAGCCCATAAACGTTGCGTATAGAATAAACAAGAAGTGAATACCACTTTTGTATGCCTCTCAAGAACCTGAACTGTTGGAGTATGTCAGATCGACATAAGATCGATATCGATTAAAATATACTTGGTCAATTTCGTGACCACCTGGAGCCATCACTGACTGTCCAAGATTTCATTCATGTAATGTTCGCTGCAATCTTGCCTTTTATGCCCAATGTGTTTCAGTGAATAATCTAGACTGGTTGTTCTCTGGCTTTGACGTTTTGTGTTTTGTAACATTATGATTCTTGGGTTTGACAATTAACCTTTCAAGTATAAGACAAAATATTATGGATGTCAACTGCCTCTTTATTGTACACAAGGTTTCTGGGCTATTCCTAACCTCTTCGTCAGGTGACACAGCGTTTCTGGGCTATTCCTTGCCTCTTCGTCAGGAATTACAACGTTTCTGGGCTATTCCTTGCCCCTTCGTCAGGTGACACAACGTTTCTGGGCTATTCCTAACCTCTTCGTCAGGTGACACGTTTCTGGGCTATTCCTTGCCCCTTCGTCAGTTGACACAACGTTTCTGGGGTATTCTTTGCCCCTTCGTCGTGAGACACAACGTTTCTGGGCTATTCCTTGCCCCTTCGTCAGGTGACACAACGTTTCTGGGTTATTCCTTGCCTCTTCGTCAGGAGTCACAACGTTTCTGGGCTATTCCTTGCTTCTTCGTCATGAGACACAATGTTTCTGGGGTATTCCTTGCCCCTTCGTCAGGTGACACAACGTTTCTGGGTTATTCCTAACCTCTTCGTCAGGTGACACGTTTCTGGGCTATTCCTTGCCCCTTCGTCAGTTGACACAACGTTTCTGGGGTATTCTTTGCCCCTTCGTCATGAGACACAACGTTTCTGGGCTATTCCTTGCCTCTTTGTCAGGAGTCACAACGTTTCTGGGCTATTCCTTGCTTCTTCGTCATGAGACACAACGTTTCTGGGGTATTCCTTGCCCCTTCGTCAGGTGACACGTTTCTGGGCTATTCCTTGCCCCTCGTCAGGTGACACAACGTTCCTGGGCTATTCCTTGCCATTCGTCAGGTGAATGTTTTACCTGACGAAGGGGCAAGGAATAGCCCAGAAACGTTGTGTATACAATAAAGAAGAAGTTGACATCCATAATATTTTGTCTTGCACTTGAATACCAGCTTCTATATGCCTCTCAATAACCTAATTACCCTTTCGTTGAACAATAGATTTCATTCCGATATTTCCATATGGTTCCATAAAAATAACCCAGGGTACCAATGAATGAGCGTGTGAGTGAGTTACAAGATAAACGTATGCTTTCCTTTAGGTTTAACTGCGCTAAATGTAATATTTTAAACATAGCGTTGCGCTTCAGTTCAATTCATCGCGTTTACATATTCTTCATGTAATCTTGCTCTACATTGATCATGTTTATGTATCTGAAAAAAGAAAAGAACCATAACAGTCTTTAAAAAACCTATTTCAACATTGCTTTTCGCGTTATCATATGCCACTCTTCAATAGTGAAATAGTTTTAGATTTATATGCTAGTTTTACATCTATATATGTGATATTCTGGGTGTTTCGCTGTCCTTCGTGGGCAGGTTTTACTTGATGTATTATAAATTTAGTCACTATATGGCTGAACTACAGCCAATGTGATTCAAGATCCTAACTCACTCGCTCTCTCAGGTGGTATAAAGACTGCAATGTGCAGCACATCTACTCCGTAAGCCATGTGATTTATGACGTCACACCCCTTATGTCGTAAAAGGCGTTATTGTCACAACTCTCAGTTGTCTCCAAAACTCCCAGCCCATTTCTACTCCAAATGTTTTACCGCACATATTGAGTATTGAATATTGACTGGAATATGAAGTTTCCAAACGCAAAATGCTCGTATCAGTGTTTGGTATAACGTTATTACCATTTTAGAAGTATTGCCATTTGTCTCTAACGGAAACGTTCTGCCTTCAGACACAATCGCTTAACATTTACTAAGCTTCACTGTGAAATTAATGCATTTGAAATACAGAAAGTTATTAAATTCCCTTTAGCGTTAGAAATCAGGTAGATGGGACTATATATGGAATGAACTTGAATTTAATTCAACGTGGTAGTTATTTCACTCATATGTTTAATAAAATATTTAATTTCTTTAAATCAACACGCCTTTGCAACAAATCGTGGCAACATCGTTAGTCCTTGTTTTTTATAAACGGACACATTACCAACCAGAATTATTAATGGATGCCAGCCTTTTTACTTGCTTTTGTAAACCTTTCTCTTCAAATATAAGTCAGAGAAGAATAACTTCGTCTTCAGACACCAATATTTTCACAAATGTCCACTTTGGTTTTCAGCTGAAACAGACAGGCCAAAATATAGCTTTTATAGCGTTTGTTACTTTGCTCGGAGAAATATACAATTTTATCAGTAGAAAATTAAATGATAACTACTATGAATGTCTACTTAATAAGAAATACTAGTACATTAACGTACATAATTTGAAGTAATAGGTAAAACATTTGTTGGCAGCTGTGGGTCAGAGTGGAATGTGGTAAAACAAGATTTGAACTTTCGTTGTTTACCCTAAATTAATAAGAGAATTGTAGATCATTATTCGAAGTCACCTGGTAAGTACACTCTTCCAAAAAAAGGCATAAGCCATTTTTAGAAGAATGTATTGAGTTTGTTTAAGAGCAATTATTTCATGTAATTTCATTCGTGACGCGTTCTGTAATTCGAAGTAGCATTTTCATGCTGGAACAACTCCCTCTGTCGGTCCATAATCGGAAGCATGTACCGATTTGCTGTCAATTTCCCCTGAACCACCACTAAATCAGATCTTTGTGTGCTGGATATCGCACCCCACACCATGACTCTTTCCCCACCGAATATGTCGACCTGTCGAATGCAATTAAGGGCAAAACGTTCATTTCTCCGACTGTAAACACGTTGTGTTCCATCTCGCCGGTGAAGAAGAAGACCAGATTCATCACTGAACCAGACTCACCTTCTGTTTGTAAGGATCCAGTTCCGGACTCTACGACACCACCGCAAGCGAATGCGCAAATGGCAGTCTCTCAAAACTGGGGCGACAACTGGCCTTCTTGGTCGAATTTCCACGTCATGCAATCGATTCCTGACAGTTTGGTCGGAAATTCTTCTCAAACCAGAGATGTGTTGTGCAGTCTCCACGGCTGTGGCAAGACGATGACGCAAGTGAGCAGCCCGGATGTAGCGGTGCCAGGATTGGTGGTTTGACGGCCGCTTCTCGGGCAATCTTGGACGGAATTTGTCTGCAGGAAACGATCCCAAAGGCGAGATATGTTGCTCTGATGAACGTTGAAATGTCGGGCAACTGCAGACTGCGACTCCCCGGCTTCAAGGCGGCCTATGGCGATGTTTCGATTGGCGGCACTCAGTGGCATAATGATTTCCTCTTTTTAAGGCAAAAACGAATGACAAAATTAAACACAACGTTTGCCTTTTTATAATGATCGATATATATACCGCATGCTTTTCCGCTTACTTGCACGTGCATTTTCCTCTGCTACTATTCTTAGGGGCGTTTTGGCGACTATTTCATCAAACGCTTCTAAAACAAGAGAAAAGGTGAAAATTGCCGCGTTTTGGAGCTGAAGCTGTTTATAATCACACAAAGATGACGTTTTGGAAAAAAATAGTATATTTGAAATGTTTTGCCGCAGCTACATGAATCCAATATTCTCAAAATCACCTATGCGTTTCTTTTTTTGAAAAGTATACATGTAAATGAATGATTTTAAATTATGTTGATATGTGAACTTACAATATTATCTTTGGAAGTCTATTCAATCTTTATATGTATAAGATTTATCTATAATATTTTCACACAAGTTATCCAAGTATTAAGAAAGAAAGTTCATAATTTGTTCGACTAATCTTGATGTTGAGTTTAAATTGCCCACTTTACACCAATCTTTACACTAGTTTATTCAGTATTCGAAAGGTTAAGCAGCTATGTAACCTTGGTAAATATCTGTTTAGAGCTGACATTAAGAGAAAAAGCTTACAGTACGTTTTTTATTCTCCAAACTTGAAGTGATATCGGACGTGTCTCGGATGACACCCATTGATTATTGTTTAAAATCGATAAGCTGTATCTGTATGGTTAAAAAAATTGAATTGAGTTCACCGAGCCCTTGTACAGGTCGATAGAGACTTCATTAATACCAAAACGATGGCAAAGGTGAATGAGAGAGGTTTACGCCGCTTTTGGCAATATTCCAACAATTTCACCGCGGGGGACACCATAAATGGGTTTTGCACATTGCACTCATGTGGGGAATCGAACCTAGATGAGCGTGACGAGCCAACTCTCTAACCACTACCCCACCGCCCTCATAGGTTTGTGCCCGATTTGTTCCCTCTGACCAAACAAAGTCTTCCCTGTCTCCACCCCTACCAAATAATCAGATATAATAGCAGCGATGAAGATTTCCATTTCAAGCTATAATCTGTTTGCAGTGAAAACGTACCGATGAATTTCACTTTAAACAAAAAAGTAAATCAAATTTAGTGAAATTAAGATTGTGAATCCTCATAATTTTTCCTTGCCAAATGAACATTTAAATCTCAAAATTTTATTCAACTTAGGATAAAAGTTGTTTAACAAACGATCACAGTTTCAAATTGCTATTATTGGTTTGTATTACAAGGGGGGTAAGCGCAGTAGTTGGAACAGCGAAACATATGCACGTAAGGTACGTGATGAGCGTTAACTTAGACTAACGTAGAAAGCAACCCGTCTTGTTCGTGGGGTTTCATTTAATGTGCATTCCCCCTTGTAATTCAAACTAATACTAGCGATTTGAAACTATGATCGTTTGTTAACAACCTTTATCCTAAGTTGAATAAAATTCTGAGATTTGAATGTTCAATTGGCAAGGTAAAATTATGAGGATTCGCAATCTTAATTTCGCTTTAATCGATTTACTTTTTTATTTAGAGTGAAATTCATCAGTACGTTTTCACTGCAAACAGACTATAGTGAAAGGTAACTAGATCTACTTGGATTATTGTGACCATAACAACAGTAAATAATAGCTCATTTAATACCCGCTGGTATGTTTTGAATGTTTTTTAACACATAAACATTACCGTTATGATTTATCTGTGTTCCTCAACCCGCTGCATTATATATGATGATCACTGTTTGTTAAATCTGATGGTGCAGTGGGGTGGCCTAGTGGTTAAAGCGTTCGCTCGTCACGCCGAAGACCGGGGTTCGATTCCCAACATGGGTACAATGTGTGAAGCCCATTTCAGGTGTCCCCCGCCTTGATATTGCTGGAATATTGTTAAAAGCGGCTTAAAATTTAACTCACTCACTCACTTTTACATCTGTCACAGCCGTCTTACTATAACTACTTTCACATCTGTTACGACTTTCTGAATTTATCCGTTAGATTTTTGTTTTGTTTGTATGTATCTAAAGACGCACTCAGCAGTATTCGAGCTATATGACGGCGGTCTGTAAAAAAATCGAGTCTGCACCAGACAATCCAGTGATCGACAGCATGAGCATCGCAATTGGGATACGGTGACATGTATCAACCAAGTCGGCGAGCCTGACCTTCCGATCCTGTTAGTCGCCTCAGCATTGGTTGCTGAAGACCAATTCTAACCCGGAACTTAGATAAAACTTTGTGGATCGGGACGCTGACTGTTTCAGTCTCTGAACAGCCTTTGTAACATATGCTGCATCCTGCATTTGTTACATCAGTTCTCGTTTGCTGCAGTTGTTGCATATATACTACCCATCAAATGTTTAGACTCACTACTGTAAATATAGCCGCTTACTTCACTCAACTGTTCTAAACTAGATTTTGCAAAATATTCCATACTGTTTAAAAGTATTGTTAACATATGAACTGATGTATTGTAAAACAAATTCGTAACGTTGAAAACATTATTTTCATGAGTTCAATAAATTGTGAAACTCAATGAAAATTGGCGAATTCTTAACAAAACGCAGTTGTTCACATGCATGATGTTTGCACATGCTTTCAGTAATTTGATGCATGATCCTCATGCAATATTAATTCATCTGCATAAGGTTTGCAGTTGGTTCCCCTACGTTAGTGGAGAAATTCATCTTCGATGTAACCACACATACATACATAACATATAGTGAATGCTATAAGTGAGTCTAAACTTTTGTTGGGTAGTATATGATACATAAGATCAGCAGTGCACACTAGAGGTACGTGTATCGAGAAATAAAAAACTTTACCCCAAAACACAGCTGTTCACATGCATGATATTTGCACATGCTTTTCAGAAGGTTGATGCATGATCCTCGTGCAATTCATCTGCATAGGGTTGGCAGATGGTTCCCCTAAGTTGGTGGAGAAATCAATCTTCGATGTAACCATAGATATACATAAAATATAGTGAGTGCTTAAGTCTAAACTTTTGATGGGTAGTATATGTTACAACCTGCTGAATCTAATGTGAAATATGTTACAGCCTGATGAATCTCTATGTTACATCTGTTACAGATGTTATATCTGTTACAGCTATCTAAATATATCCAAGATATTTTTATGGATTAAACCTGATGAAGGGACCTGGAATGGTCTCGAAACGTCGTGAGAGAAATTAAAAAAAGAAGTTTAATCCATAAAAAATATCTTGGACATCAATGTACAACTTCTAAATGCCACCGAAAGACATTATCTAAATATACTTGCTGAATTCATTACAGCTTGATACATCTGATGAATGTACGTTACATCTGTCACAGCCAGCTGAATTTGTATGTTACTTCTGTTATGGTCTTCTGAATATATATGTTACAATCATTTCAGCTTCATACAGCTACTGGGGCGGTGGGGTAGCCTAGTGGTTAAAGCGTTCGCTCGTCACGCCGAAGGCCCGTGTTCGATTCCCTACATGGGTACAATGTGTGAAGCCCATTTCTGGTGTCCCCCTCCGTGATATTGCTGGAATATTGCTAAAAGCGGCGCAAAACCCAACTCACTCACTCACTCACTCACTCATACAGCTACTAAATAAAGACGTTTATTCGGTTACAGCCGTTGAATTTATTTGTTACATATGTTCTTGCCTTCCAGTTATATTGTTTCGTTTCAGCTCCCTAAATCTTGTAACATCATGTGATACGTTCAATGTAATTACAGTCTGCTGAATGTCCACGTTACATCTGTTGCAATCGACTGAATATATCTGTTAATCTGTTTCAGCCTGCAGTATGTTGAGGGAGACGTTGGTGGCGTTGGTACTGATGCTGGGCCTGACTCACACCGCCGCTCAACACCGGAAGCGCGCCACGGGACATTTTGGACATGCGCTTTGGGGTGACATGTACGTCCGGTCTAAAGGTGAACTAGTTTTCTTGTCGGTGTTGTAAGGTGCTGAAATTCACAGCGATCTGCCTCTAATCGTGCCAGCAGCTTTTGGTTCGAATCCCAGACTCACACCAAAACCGCGCTCGTTGGTTGCTGGGCAGAATAATGTCATATTTTGTAGAAATATGTTTTATCCATTAGTTCAGTAAATTATAGTCCAACTCTGAAACCTAGCTGCAGGTTTCTCAGTCTGTGTCATATGTAACAACCCGTGAAGGTCCGGGTTAGAATGAACCTTCAGTAACCCATGCATGTCGTAAGAGGCGACTTGGTTGACACACGTCATCGGTTCCCAGTTGCACAGATTGATGCTCATGCTGTTGATCACTGGATTGTGTGGTCCAGGCTCGATTATTTACAGACCGCCGTCATATAGCTGGAATATTGCTGAGTGCGGCGTAAAACTAAATTCACTCACTCACTCACTCACTCACTCATATGTTACATTTACCATCAAGCAATAGGATAAAAATCATATGCAATACCATGTCCTCCTTGTTCATTGTACCGGTATCTGGAAGAACTCTATCATTCGCCATAAAGGCATATAATATACACTAGTGCTGTAACGGTGCATCGAATTATCGATGGATTGCAATTGTTGAGTCTCCGACAGCAATTAATCGATGGAAGAAACGAAAAACTATTGATACATCGATAGTATGTGTGACTATCGACAGTTTAGTAATTGACTTCCGTTGATAAACGCGCAGAGCAAAATACAGGAAGTACCATATTCGTTCACTTTGATTTAGAGTTATCTGCCCCTGTTACGTCTTGAACAAACATGGCGGCAAACACGACATGCGACTCGGAGTTTGAAATTGTGAATAACAATAAATTTATGTTTTAACTGTTTTCTTGATCTGGGTTTCACGTTTCTTGTCAGGTATTAAAAGAGGCTGAAACTACTTCAACTTGTTTTTATTTGATATAAACTATACATTCATTTGGGAAATGACTTCAAATATGACAATTCAAGCAGAAAAAACGATTGCAATAGTATTGCAATAGTTGATCGCAATAGTATGTCGCAATAGTTGTTTCCCCGTCAATAGTCACCTCTAATATACACCATCTTCGTAGATAGGAAAACGTATCACAAAGACCAAGAGTACAAGTCAATAGTCTTCGTAAATGCCCTGTATAACTAGTGTCGGCATAAGTCGGTTGTTGTTTTGGCAATGAACAAACTCCAACTGACCTGCATCTCAGTTTTCCGTTAGTGATTGACCTTGGAAACAATCAATTTTAAAAATGGTACGTCGGGAATCAAATACAGTGAAAAGCGAAACGACGACAGTTATGTTTTGAGTAAAGGTCGAGTGAGTGAGTGAGTTCAGTTTTACGCCGCTTTTAGCAATATTCCAGCAATATCCCGACGGGGGACACCAGAAATGGGTTCACACATTATACCCATATCGGGAATCGAACCCGGGTCCTCGGTGTGACGAGCGAACGCTCTAATCACTAGGCTACCCACCGCACTTAGTAACAGTCGAATCCCGTTACTCTGCTTGACCGTAGTAAGGATAATCAAGTTAGAGTGAGTTCAGTTTTACGCCGCTTTTAGCAATATTCCAGCAATATAACGTCGGACACCAGAATGGATTTCACACATGGGGTATCGAACCCCACCGCCCGTAATCAAGATAGAGAGTATGTAGACATCTTCGCTGTTTTCAGCCTCACTACATGGAGGCTGAAGGGTTAGCTTGTCACACCTTATATCCGGGTTCGATTCCCTATCTACGTGTGTAAAATAAGTCAAGCTCATTTCTGGCGTTCCCCTCTTTGAAATGCCTGGAATAGGGGCCATCAAACTAAACTCACTGGCCTTATTGCTCTAAAATAATGGGGGCGGTGGGGTAGCCTTGAATATGTAATTAAAGCGTTCGCACGTCACGCCAAAGACCCGGGTTCGATTCCTAACATGGATACAATATGTGAAGCTCATTTCTGTCCCCCGTCGTGATATTGCTGGAATATTGCTAAAAGCGGCATAAAACTAAACTCACTCACTCACATTCACTAAAATAATGACGGTGTCTTTGTACAAAACGAGTGAAAACGCCATGCCTCCAAGCACAACCAATAGCTCCGTTAGTTACCGTTTAAACAGCGGCAGACAGTTCTCTTGAGTCATGTGATCAGGGCAAGCTGTATATAGTGCATTATAAAACGATTAGTTATATTTTGAGACGCTAACACGTCACTGTCATAAATAGATTACAAAATCCTGCAAATCTGAACAGCCAGTAGGATGTTGTCAGTGAATTCATCAAGCAGGTTCAGAATCTCGTTGTCTTGATAGATTACAGATTATACGCTGGGATGCCATGCTGTCTATTTGTGGACTGAGAAGGTAATAACATTTACCGCTTGCCTGAATCTCCCCATAATCCCGAGGCGGTGTTATTTCGCCGATCGTTCAAGTGGCTTAAACGCCGAGCAAGTCGTTAAACCTCGTACCTTTCCGTGATCGTGTTGCCGAATGTGAAGAAGAGCGGAACCAACCGAATAAATAATGCAAAATATACAGTTAGTTTGTTTCCTTTTAAATTTGACCTTAATTACAGTAAAACACATCAATGTAGTAAGTGCAGGGGCGGACACAGGAACCTTTTGAGAAAGAGAGAAAAAAAGGGGGGTGGGTGGGGGTGAGGGTTGGCATCATTTTCACCAAATTTTCAATGGTCATTTAAAAAACTTTCACGACAATAGGAGGGGTGCGCACCCCTGCACCATCCCTCTGGATCCGCCTATGAAGTGATACACGTTCATGGCACCATTTTTTAAAAGTAATTGCGAAAAAGTAAAAAACTCGGGTAGGCGAAACAACATGAGCAAACAACGCATACAGATGATGTGAACGTTTTTAAATGATGGCAAAACACCACTCTAATTCCACGACTGACACTCCAACACCGCTCTTGGTATTGCACAGATTGGAACCAACCATGCCCACAGTGCTAGAACTTTTTATTTCTCCCGTGTTGCTGTAACTAACCGAATGAAACCTTACAGACAGACCTGGCAGACATCATAGAGGCCATTAACAGACAGACCCAGGGTAACTACGCCCACTGAAGACCGGTACTTGCGTACTTTACATCAGCGCAATCGATTCTTGAACATTGACAGCAAAGGATGCCTTTGGCCACGTAGTTAGTCGACAGACATTGGCCCGGCGACTGAGGACTGGATTAATTCGCGCTTACAGACCTCACTGAGATTATTGACAGCGAACAATCGTCGTCAGAGATCAAGACAGACCGTAACTATGTGTCGTTGGCAGCGACGTGACTGGCAGAAGGCCGCCTTCATTGATAACACCCAGTTCTGTCTGCTCAGAGCTGATGGAAGACCGTGTTTACCGTCGAAGGACACAGCGGGAGTTGTGCCGTATGCTGGAGAGGCTGTTGTGAAAATTTGACAGCTCAGCATACTTGGATGACATTCTTTGTCCGATTGTCCCACCATTTTTGTAACGTCTTTTTTAATGACGACCCAAGACCCCTTGCAGCCAAAACTGAAACAGAACTTCCTTGCAACCAACAACGTCAACGTGTTTCCGCGACCTACACGTTCCACAGACGCAGGAGAGTTTTTGAGGGTGTTGCAGTACTGGGTGGTCAAGGGGCGGTGGGGTAGCCTAGTGGGTAAAGCGTTCGCTCGTCACGCCGAAGCCCCGGGTTCGATTCCCCACATGGGTACGATGTGTTAAGCCCATTTCTGGTGTCCCCCTCCGTGATATTGCTGGAATATTGCTAAAAGCGGCGTAAAATCAAACTCACTCACTCACTCACTGGGTGGTCAAACACGCTATTAACGTGACATGTCATCGAACTTGATGTGTGTGCCCATTGGCCATAACAGCAAAAGCTTGTGTTTGCTACGTCACTTCAATTCAGGCGTTTATCACTTGATTGTCTGGTCCAGACTCAATTATTTACAGACCGCCGCCATATAGCTGGAATATTGCTGAGTGCGGCGTAAAACTAAACTCACTCACTCAATTCAGGCAACTGTCGTTCCAGTGTCTTTTGCTGTTTGACTGTCATTTTAAGTGTTGAGTTCGTTGAGATATTGATTTTTTTTTCAATACATTTCACTTCATGCATCTATCCTTTCTGGTTATATATTAGACTGATTGAAAACTATTGTAACGTTTCTTTTGGCTGTCAGTATATAATGCACAACTTGGTTTTTATCTACTACATAGGTGCCACGTTCGGTGGCATTCCGAGTGACATCATGCAGCGTGCATAGCTGTAATATAAAAGGGAACGTTTACCCTAATGCATTTGCCTTAGATGTCTCAATTTAGCGTCCCTTACTCTTACCTATATCATCGTTGCCAAATAGTGATGATCGTTGCTTAGAATCCCAGATCCGACCCAAAACGATAATAATTTCTGAGCCAGCACCGCACATGTGCTCGTGGGCCTGCTTTACTTTTAAATCTCCCACTCCCATCCGAAGCCCGACGCACCCACCCACGCGGTCGTAGAACTGAGATACAACTGCTCAAAGCGGCGTTCGCCAACCCACAACTCAGCAGCCTTCATAAACGTCGGGCGGCTTCTGAAATGGTACCTGTGTGTGTCCTTTCAAACCTTCAGGGGCTGTGGGATAGCCTAATGGTTAAAGCGTCCGCTCGTCTCGCCGAAAACACGGGTTCGATTCCCCACATGGGTACAGTGTTGGAAGCCTATTTCTGGTGTCCCCCGCCGTGATATTGCTGGAATATTGCTAAAAGCGGCTTAAAACCATGCTCACTCACTCACTCACTCTGGTGTCCCCCCGCCGTGATATTGCTGGAATATTGCTGAAAACTAAACTCACTCACTCACTCACTCGCAATACGTGAAACCCATTTCTGGTGTCCTCCGCCGTGGTATTGCTAAAACTAAACTCACTCACTCTAAAAGAGTATCATCTGTAATGAACATCATCTCGCCCCTCCAAGC